AAAGACATGTTACGGTTGGCCCAAAGTGATACCAAATTTACAAAATCGATTGTTTCTGGTGAAGAGACATGGTGTTTTCAATATGAGCCTCACACAAAGTGGCAGAGTGCAGCGTGGTTCAGCTGAAAGAAGCCGAAACCAAAGAGAGTGCGCATGCAAAAGAGTCGAGTAAAGACACTGCTAACTGTTTTCTGATTCCTTCAATTCCTAAGGAATCATTCACAAGGAATTTCTGCCAGAAGGTCAAACAGTGAATTGTGATTATTATCTCGGAGTTGCTCAATCGATCATGGGCGAGAATTCTTTGAATTTGACCTGAATATCGAGAGCAAGGTTCCTGGTCACTACTCCACAACAATGCCCCACCCCACAAATTGAAGATTGTGAGCGATTTTTTGGCCAGAAAAGGGATCACAGTCCTTGATCATCCTCCGTATCACCAGATTTGGCTCCAGCAGATTTCTGGTTGTTCCAAAAAGTTAAGTTGGCGATGAAAGGAGACAGTCACGACACCATCCAGGATATCCAAAGGGATGTACTGCAGCTTTAAATGCAATTCCACAATAGGAGTACAGTGACTGTTTTTGTAAACTTTTCAATCGATTCAGAAGACTATTTTGAACAAAGAGTGAAATTTTGAAAATAATAAATGTATTGTATTTTTAATGAACACAGTCCTAATAGAAACTGGACACACTGTGTATTTGGACTAGCTATTCCGCTGAGACCCATAGTGAGTTAGTTCCATTGGCTCCCCTTGCTATGCCTTGGCTAGATTCCTTAAAAAATACTGAGTCCTCTGACCTGCAGATCTGATGCCTTCTTTAACAATTCCAGCGACTTCAAAGATTTGCTAAAATCGGTTAACCTCTGTGGACAGGATACCCTCTCCAGCTTCGCTGTGGTTAGTCTCTTCACCAGCGTTCCAGTTGATGAAGCCCTTCATGCCATCAGAAGTAGGCTTGAAGACGATAACACATTGGCAAAACAGTCTGTCCTGAAGGTGGAAGCCATCATGGAACTTCTGGATGTCTGCTTGAGGACCGCCTACTTTCGAGGGGACAACAGATTCTACCAGCAGAAGGATGGCATGGCAATGGATAGTTCCCTTTCTCCCATTGTTAGCAACATCTACACGGAACACTTTGAACAACTGGTTGTCAACTCAGCGCAGGACAAACCATCACTGTGGCTCCAGTATGTGAATGATACATTTGTGATCTGGTCCCATGGTTTAGAGAGGATACAGAATTTTCTTACCCACCTTAACAGTCTGAGACCGGCCATCCAGTTTACTATGGAAATAGAATCGGAGGGAACGATCCCCTTCCTGGATGTTCTGGTCATAAAAAAATGGACAGCTCTGACCACAAAAGTTTACAGGAAATCTTCCCACATTGGACGATATCTTAATTTCAATTCCAATCATCCCCCACATGTCAAAAGAGGAACTGTTCAGTCTTCACGATAGAGCTACCACTATATGCCAAGACTTGCTGATGGAGGTTGACAACCTAAACTGTGACCTGCAACTCAGTGGTTATTCTCAAGTCTTTATTGACTTGGTTATCAGGTCCAAGGGTAGTAGTCGTCAGAAAAAAAGAGGAAAAGCCTCTTGGCATGGTTTATATCCCATATGTTAAGGGTATCTCTGAGAAATTTTAGCGCATAGGAAACCAGTATAACATTAGGACCATCTTCAAAACTAAACACACTTTACGATCTTCGTTTGAGAGAACGAGACCAAAAAGGAATCCTCAACAGATGGCACATTGCATCTATAGCATTCCCTGTGAATGTGGCAGAAGCTACATTGGTGAAACAGGCAGACCGCTGGTCGTGCGAATCCACGAACACAAGCATAATCTCAAGCAGGGTCTTCTAGAGAAATCCAAGTTGGCTCAGCATGCATATGAAGAGGCCATAGGGTAGGCTGGGATGAAGCTAGGGTCTTGGCGATTTAAAGTAACAGCAGGTGCAGAAAGTATAAGGAATCGGCTCACATGGCATGGTCAACTAAACCGATCAGGCAGCCCAGTTTGGATATTTCTCTCTTATGGATCCCACTCAGCAATGAAGAGGTCAACAAGTCAAAATGAAAGTGTTTATGAACATCAGTGTCTTCCACTATATCTGCTAGTTTCGCTCTGGGGTTTAGTCTTATTTCGTAGAAGTCGCCCTGGTGGCATGATTCTTTATCTGCATAATTAGCTATACATCCTCTATATTCTTTACCCTCATTTGTAACTTAATCCATACCACTGTTTTATCATATTTTTGACATGTGCATGCCTTGCACAAAAGTTTTATCTAGTCTTTTACTGCGATTTTATTCTTATCTCCCAATGATGGAACCTGTTGTCAGGTGTTTATAGGCTGTTCTCTACTGACCGGGGTTTGTCCAGTGATTAGACTAGCTCTTTCTAATGGTCCCAGCTGAGTAGGTTTGTCGTGCCCTATCCACCTGACCCCCTCATTGGTGTCTCCACCTTATTGTGGTGAGGGGGTTTGAGTATGCCAAGGACCCTGAGAGCTATACCAGCGGTAGCGTAGCTACTGTCAGGGCCTCCCTTGCTGGACAGGTCAAAGGGTAGGCATCAGACGAAGAGAGACACCAAAAACTGATGCCGGAAACAGCGTCATCAGTAGCGACTTGAAGCACAAAGCAAATGATGCACGAGATGGTTCAAGTTCGTATAGCAACAGGCGTGACCAGAGTGGTTTGAACGGCTGCTGTACTGCGATGTGGAAAGCAAATGGAAAAACTACCACATTATCACTTTTCCTGGATAGTCTCTTTCCAAAAACAGAAGATCGCATTAAGTGGAGGAACTGTTTTGGAAGAGA